AAAAAGCTATAGTTTACGTTACGTTAACTATAGATTTCAGTTACCAAAGTTGCGTTTTGGAACGCACCCCGGAGGGTCACTATTAGCGCTACTCCGTCATTCTATCTTCGTTGTTTATTAGACGTAAAACAAGGATAGAATGACACAAATAGGCACTATACGTCTCCCTGAATGCACCTCTTGTATTCTTATACCATGGTTCGAGCTATCGTTTCGTTTCACGTGTCATATCGCGAGAATCTTCTTATCAGAAAGTATATACGTATACGCGTGTGTATGTGCATGCATGATGTACATACACTGGTGTATATTTTCGGAAGACTGTGGTAGACGTCCCCGACACTTGGTTGTTCGTAGTCGTTCGTCGACTACTTGCGACTATTCGTCGATCGTCGTCGACGGACGTCTGCGAGTAGGGCCTAACCCCACACTCGTGTTCGATAAGGTCTTCGTCGGCGGCTCTAGTCATGGGACTTTGAAAAGCTACGAGTTGACGTGTCTCGGTTAAAGCATTGGTACGAACACTACGAATTCGCGCTGCACTGAAACGCTGAAGCGCTTAAGCGTAAGCCGTGATGTGATTGCATGCTAATGTGTTGGTACTCACCCATCGCGGAATTACATAATGTATATGCATGAGTCACGATTTGTCACACGGCGTCAACTGTGCGTCAAGAAGGGGGAGGGGACGAACGTGACGTGCAAATGTCAAAGTCATACGGCGCAACCAGGCGTAACCAGTAACATCACCTCGTCGTTATATGATAAATAAAAATCGTCAACTCGTTTCCTCTCTCCAAAAACTAGCTTCCGCATCATTCGCATCGTTTGCACTCGTAATTAACATCGAGATCTATTGGCTTAATACGTTTATATCCCGTTAGAAATTGATTATTGTCTCTTTCCACGTTGATTGTGCGATGCGCTGCCATTAGAAGTTATAGGTCTCTCGAATAGTACGTTCGATTTTCAACTTGTAAAATATTGACATTGTCTTTGTATATTTATTGTATTAGCTTATCATATTATCGTGCTAATAATTGTGTTCGTACCCACAGTCGTAGAGTCTTTTAGTGTTAAACAACTTGATAATCGTAAAAATGTACTTCAATAATGCTCCTCCCTGTAGATTGTCCTGTATGTAATGTAGACTCAAATAACAAGAATAATTCAAGTTACAAGTAACAATGTGTGTGCTTTTTAAAATTAATTGTATCCGAATCAAATCTTGTAAGATTATTTGTGTGAATTATGTTTTTGTAAATCTTGCAGGAAATTCCAAGGAACTTTCTAGAATGAACAAAGAATATTCTTTTTGAATGTTGTCAAAGTCATTGTAAGCAATGATACAAACAAGACTTCTCGCATCTGTGGGTGACATTTCTTAGCTATTAAAACATTTGTATGTCTTTTTATATTAAATTCAACGATTATTTATTTGCATTTTGGCATTGAGAAATGCCAGCGCCATCCCCGACCCTCTCTAGCTTGCCAGAAATACCTATGTGTGAGAAAACGGAAGTTAATGATACCGATTCTCTGCCCCCTTGGGCCAAAATCACACTTACATCTGCAGAAGCTGAAATCGAAAAGCTGATCTCACGAAATGAGTTGAAAGACGCAGAGGTAACTTACTTCTGTCAAGTAGAACCAATTCTTCAAGATGGGCCACAGTGAGTATTATTTTAATGTATTTAGTGAGTCTTATCAGAAATACTAATGTAATTCTTCTATGTTGAAAGTGAAAAAAGAATGTAATTTTTTTTTTATTTGCAATTGTATCAATTCTATTTCATAATTGTAATACATTTAGTTTACATTTAATTAATATTCTTGTACTTTTCGAAATTGTAAAGTATTAAATTAGTATTAAATTAATAATTGTTAAGTATTAAATGCTTTGTAGGTGTGGTTTAGTGGCGCTTTCCATGGCATCGCAAGAATACACAAAACCAGTTTCTGTGAATCAACTTCTCGCTGAAGCTCGTGTTCGAGGGTTTACACAGCATGGAGAAGTATACAGTGTCGATTTCATGGGGACATTGGCTGCGGAATATTTACCTGATCATAAACCAGATATTTTAGTAGATTTACAACAGTGTCCAGACACGTTAACTCATGCTTTAGCACATGGAGCAATGGTGCTAATACCATATGATTCTGACTTCAATCATGCTCCATGTTTAAAAAAAGGTCATAAAGCGCATTGGGCATTGCTTGTGGGTCTAATCTCTTCCAGGTATAATTTATAGTTGAGGCACTTTATGATGTATTCTATCAAAATTTCAGATTGAATTTTTCCTATTTTTTTACTGGAAAACATTTATTATAGGGATGCATCGGATATCCGAAAAGTATTCGATATCCAGTATTATCCGGCACTTTTTTACCATCCGATCGGATAGAGACGAAAGAAAATAAAAATATTAAAATAATTTCATCAGATGACGAATTAAATTCAAGCGAAAAAATTAATGTAAATAAGAAAAATAATAAGAATAAGAAAATAATTAAAGCAGATCAAAATAAAATTAACGATAATAAAGAATTAATTTAATTAGATACAAATGAGGAACCGATTTTTACTTACCTTAGGTTATCATTAATTTCCAAAGCTGAGAGCAACCTAGAATCAAATAAAATTAATGAGGTAAAGGATAACAAGTTAGTAAATGAGAAAATAAAAAAAAGAAATGTACTATCCGATCGGATAGCCGGATATCATTAGTATTCGGAAATATATTCGGTTGAAATTTTATATCATTGATCTTTTATTATATAAATGTTCTATAAATAAGTATACATATTCATAATGTTATAATATCTTGTATATTGTTGCAAAATTGCAATTTTTTTTCTCTACAGTTTTTTTTTAGAAGACGTCCCAAAATTCGATCGAATATCCGGAAAAAATCGGATATTCGACTCGGAAAATCCTTTTCGGATATCGATGTTATATTTTTTTCGGATATCCGATATCCAGTAATTTTATGATCTGATGCGCATCCCTAATTTATTATATATAAAGAAAACATGTCGGTTTTCTATATTAAATGTATTAATTCAGTTACTTTTAGTTATTAATTTTATTGCGATACACACACACACACACACACATATATATACCATAATTTTATTATGATATATATATATTAATTTTACTTTTTTTTCATTTTTATTTTTTTAAAATTCATTTATTTGCTTTCTTAAAGTGTATTTTAAAGTAAACAGAAAAAATTACTATGGTGTTAATATTTTTAGACAAGGATATCACGTTCTGGCACGTCACGGTAAATCGCGTCACTTGGCTTGTTGGCCCTTGCGCGATTTGATTGAAAGTAATGGCAACTTAGAGGAAGAGGGTACAGCGAGACATGCAGGAGGATATGTTATACCAAAGGGTGGTGTTGGAGGTCAAAAAGGCTTACGCGGCAGAGCATTGGCATTACATCCGTACATATAGAGTTATATCGAAGAAAATTATAGGTAATTGATTTCATGCTAAAAAAGAAAATTTGCCGATACTCTATATCCACTTGTGCTAAATATTCGAAACATAACATTTGCATACAATACACACGGCTTCCATAAGAATCACTAATAATTATGTATTATAATATGCGACGCTTTAAATTTAAATTTGTGCGAAATATTTTACGTAATGTTAGTCATGATATCTACCAAAAAGCGTTCGGAATTGGAGATACAATTCTAAGTGGCATTATTTTCGTTTTATTGGAATTATGCGATGTAAATAAAAATTCCGGCAGGCCGAAATATGTGCACGTAAAATATAAATGCAGACAATTGTCTCTTGACAGTATTATATCCTATTAGATTGAAATGCAAAAGTGTATGCATACACAGTAAAGTAAAAATGAGATACATAAAAATGTTCACATAAGTAAATATATATACATATGTGTGTACATGCGTGCGTGTGCGTATGTGTGTATGTAGCAAGTTATCAAAAGTGATAATTCAGAAGGGAAGATCTAAATATGTTTCTTCAGATAGAGTATGTGTAGGTTTTCAAAACAATTGTGGTTTTCGTCTTATG